ACGTGAAAAAGTTTAATTGCATGTAATTTCACTTCATGCTGCCATTGGTTATGAATGAAAAAAATATAATCTTTTTTTTTTTTTGCTTGCCCCTAACATTAATTACATTGAAAATTTATGCTTTGCTTTTAAATATGAATCACTTTTTCCTAACTTTAATTCATTGATTGACATGTACTATCATATAGTTTCTTCATCATTAAGAAGTTATTGCACTAATCACAATGAGTTGAATGTTCCTTATTCTGTAATGCATTGTTTATTCTTAATGCATTGCTTTTTTTTTTTTTTTAGTTTTTGACAAAATTATCCTTAGTCCTGGTTTGAGGGTTCATGTGTCGGTATTGGTTTAATTAGAAAATAGCATGTGAATTTTAATCAAACATGTAAGGGGGATTCGGATAAAGAAGCTTTTAATATTTGCATTTATAAGTGTAAATTTGTTATTTGTAAAGATTTGTAGGAGCAAAAACACGTCTGTAGCAAAATGAGATTATATATAGTAGTTAAAAACAAGATAGCCCCCTAAGAGAAGAAAGTATGGTCAAAATTTAATGATTTGACCATGGATCATTTACCTATTATTGATCCAACAAACACATATGTGTATTTTTTCCATTGAAAGAATATTAGGTAGGTTCCCAAAAGAAGAAATCTCGAGTTTGGACCATTTTTCCCGTTAGGTTTGTTTAGTCATGTTGTGGGTTTCCTATTGTTGATGGGTTTAGAGTAAAAGTTGTGTCTCAATTAAGCATATATATTGTTCATGCTTGAAGCATGAAGTTCTTTTTCTAACAATTAACCTTTTACCTGGTAGCATGTGCTTTATCACCAAGATACGTGAAAAAACTTAGCCAATTCAGTAATTGTGTCCCTATTAAAGAAGTATTTGACAAAACAAATATAACAGGGAAGAGAAGTAATAAAAAACACAAATCAACTTAATATGATACCATTGACTTTAAAAGAGTTCAAAACACCTGAATATGACACTAGTTGCCAATTCTTATATAGCTTTATTGTACGATTGCCTTCAATTCTTATATAACTTCCCATTCCTTGTCAAAACTCCAATTCATTATGTCAAGTCATGTGTATATAATTTTTTAATAATAAGTTATTTGAATTCAAAATCAAGTACTATAAACTTCAATAACGACAATGGAAAAAAGTGTGGTTGATAGATAAGTCTATCATGATTTTGTGTGATATCTTAAAAAAATATATATCATGAAGAATGGTCGTACCTCTCCAATTAAATGGTAAGACCTTCAGACAATTTTTGATAATGATGCTAATATCAAGTTAAATAACTACAAATCGTAAAAGAACAAGTATGATGGAATGCAAAAGGACTACAACATTTGGAAGTCGTTAAAAATTGGTGAAACAGGTCTAGGTTGGAATGAGAGTACACGACAACCAAATTATTCGGATGAATGGTGGGACAAAAAAATTAAGGTAACAAATTTAAATATTTTTTTTTACTAATAGCTAATTTTCCATTATTTTGAAAACTAACAGGAAATAGAATATATTATATGGGAAAACCTGAATGTTAAGGGAACTCGAAAAAGGCAATCTTCTTTAGAGCTACACGAAGCATGGGATCACATATTTGGGGATATGATTGTCAGTGGTGCAGACTGTGTGGCAACATACATGGATCCAAGTACTCTCAATACTATGCCTAATGTTATTATACATGATGAAAATCCTACGACGGGTGATGATGTAGCAACCAGTGATCATGTCCAAACTGGTGATGACACTTTTTTCTCCTCACCAAACCCTTAACGCTCTGATCACTTGGATAACTTAAAAGAAGAAAATTGCTCTTTTTATTCAAATTTCATAAATTAGGCCGACAGTACCTTATCATCGAACAATATTGGGGGGTCTACTCAAATTCAAAAGAGTTCCAAAGAAATTTCTAAACCTAAACCCGTACAAATGAAACGTAAAAATAGAGAGTCAGCTAGAGCTATAATGTTTAAGGGATTTATGACTCAACAAAATGTCATTCAAAAACGTACTCTTGAACTATTAGAGTCAGATACATCTACTGGCAATCAAAGTCCAGATTTTAGTATAAGTGCAGCTATAGGTTTCATTAATCAAATGGATGATGATGGGATAACGACAAATGGGAGCGATTTTTGGTGCTTTGCAATGAGTTTCTCTAAAGATCCGGTAAAAAGAGAATTGTTTTTAACTCCTCCAAAGGATGTGGGTAGGCTGGCATGGCTGAATTATAAGAATAATATCATAACTAATTTTTTTTGTTTTAATGTCATCGAAGATTCATTATTGAGTAGAATTTTTTTTTTTTATATTTGACTGGTTCGTTCATTTGTATATTGTTCTATTTCAATTGTTCATGCTATGTATTTGATTTATGATGTGTTATGTTATGATTAATTTAGAGATTTAATATGATTATTTCATATTTTATACTTATAAGAATCATGTTGAATAGGTGCGTGTGTGTAAATGGATATCAAAAGAAAGAAGAAGAGAAGGAAACATTATCGTTTAAAACTATTATCGAACACATGCTCTTCAAGTGCTCTAGCCAATGCATATGTTTTCAAATACATGTATAAGGAACCTTGTGACATCAAATCAAACATTATTGTCTTGGATGAATGAAATTTTGGAAGGTTGTCCTATTCAATGTGTTAATGCACTTAGAATGCACCCAAATGGGTTCCTACAACTAGTTAAAGAACTTGAATTAAAGTATGGATTGGAGTCGAGTGATAAAATGTCGGTTGTTGAACAAAGTTGGGGATTTTTTGTACACTCTTGCTTTAGGTGTGTCCAATAGATATGTTGGGGAGCGGTTTCAATGATCAGGGGATACGATTAGTAGAGCCTTTCATGATGTTCTAGAGGCAATAACTTCTAGAGGAAAAAGATTCAAAGGTCTAGCACGTGATATTATATGACCGAGAGATCCAACCTTTCTATTTCTACCTCCATAAATCAAGAATGATAAAAGATACATGTCATATTTTAAGGTATTATATTAAGATATTTCATTTAATTTTTTTAATACAATACTACAATATTATTACTAATTTGAAATTGCATTTAGGATTGCATCGGATGTATTGATGGTACACACATAGTGGCATGCATCCCTGAAACTCAACAATTGTGTTTATTGGTAGAAAAGGAGTACCTACATTAATGTAATGGCAACTTGTGATTTTGATGTGTTTTACCTTTGTATCTGTTGGATGGGAAGAATCTACACATGACACACGTGTGTTCCTTAATGCTATTAACACGCCATCAATGAACTTCTCCAAACCACCTGAAGGCAAATTCTCATCTTTATGTTTATTTTTTTCCTACTATTATATGAATGAGCAAAACATCATAAATGATCCTTGTGGTTTCCCCAAATCTGAATTTTAGTCCTAATGGTTTAAAAACATCATAGATGGTCCATGTACATTCAAAACTTTAATGATTGTTCCTTATTGCTAACTATGTTAAGTTTTGTCCATTAATTGAAAGACATTTTCATCATTTCACTACCACAGGGACCATTTATGATGTCCTTTCACTTGTTTTTTTTTTTTTTTGAAAAAAGAGAAAAAAATGAAATAATATGCAAAAGGGGTCTCTCTCTCTCACACACTTACTCACACATACACACACATATACATTCACACACTCTCTATTTATCTATCTATCTATCTATCTATCTATCTATCTATCTATCTATCTATCTATCTCTCACACACACATTGTGTTCATCCTAAAAAAACACACATACTAAGTTGAATATTTTAGTGATCATCATGTTTGACCCCGTTAATTTTCTTCTTAAAAAATGAATAACATGTGAGTCTAATGTCGTTTAGGGTAGCGTATAACTGGAGTTTGTGAGGGTTAAAGCCACCATTTATCAACAAACTTTTTTTCCTAAAAGAACACCAAACAAAACTTGCAAAAATTATGAATGAAAACCACAAAGAATTCCCCTTCATGTCAATCAGATTGATGACGTTAGATCTAGATGACATCATTATTTGGAGAGGCCCTCACAAGAATAGAATCATTAGAGCCGGAGGAGCACTCACCGGATCAGGGGAGACGAGGTCGGAGACTAGACCTATTCTGGAACCATCAAAGACTGAACTTATGTGGGTGGAGTAGTTTGCTTTGTGACTTCACTCCAAGTTCCTGCTCTTCATCATTTTTGCTTATTCTTGAATCTGGGAGTAACGAGATTTCTAGATCGATATACAGATTCCTCTACTTCATTAATTGTATAGAGCTCAAACCAACATCCATTGAGTTTAATTTTTAAGATTTGATAGACCAAGAATGAAGGGAAAATGATTCAGGTAATTTTGCTAACTGTACATCGATTTAGATTTGGTATAATTACTGGAGATGGGTTGTGCATTGATTGTGCTAATTGTTAATCAATTGTGCTAATTATCCAACCAAGATTTGTCCCTTTCTTTAATACAACATATGATTGTGTTAAATTGGAATTGTATGCTTCTAATGGTGATAATTCCAAATAAATAAATCAAAAAAGGAAGGAGGAGAACAATGCACTCCAGGTGCTCAATGAAACACCAAAAATAAAAGCAAAGGAATTTGGATGAGTTCATTGTTCAACTAAGAAAACATCAAACCAAGTAGCTCACGAGTTGGATAATACCACTTGTTTCAATTGAGACAAAATTGCAAAAATGGTCCATGTGGTTGGCAAAATTATGCGACTTTGGTCTAAAACAATACCTTGGTGCACCACTGGTCCAAACTTGGATTTTTCTATTGTTTTTGGTCCCCCGCACTAACTTCCATTCATATGTTCCATTACCTACAATATAGACAAGGGTATTTTCATCTTTCCACCTCTATGTCATCGATTACCGCCATATTGAAGGATATACACAGTTAATGAACCTTCACTGTCTACCCACTAAACCCACTTTGTTGATCAAAAACCCTAATCATTCCTTGAAATCATGCGTTTGAACTTCAACTTCAATCTTAAGTTCAAATCCATGAGTATGCTCCAAATGTGGGAAATCAAGCCAAGAAATCAATGTTTTGATGCCATTCGGATTTACGGTAACGTACTCTGTTTCTTTGATATTTCTTTGAAACAAATAAAATCTTTTACAATCCATATAAAGTAATGTTTTTTGGTTTGGTTCATGATTTTTACAGAAGGATATCCCACGATGTTCACTATTAAGCTCCATCATGGAGGGAGGTTCACAAAATTCCCAGGGATAAGCTACATTGAAGGAAAATTAGTCCACATTGAGCTGGTAGACATGGATGAGTTCTTTGTGCATGAGTTGGAAGAGGTGATGCTAAAGCTTGGTTATGACGTACCACCAGTCATTTACTACCACTATCAACTGCTAAATGGATATTTGGAGTTTGGTCTTAGAACTCTTGGGAATGATATTGATGTACTTAGTCTTGCACAGTACTTTGAACATCATAAGATCATCAAGGTATACACTGAGCATAATGAAACTAATTTACTTACATCCTTTATGTCTCCAAGAGTTAAACCTAGGGCCATAATTGAGGAAATACCAGATGATGTGCCCTTACCAAAATCAAATTCAACAGTAGTTGATTTCCATCCAGTAAACCAAAACCAGGAAGATGTCCCAAATATTGAATTGTGTTTGGTAAGGTATGAGACACTAGAATACAATAAGAATAGGGATTGAGGTTAGTTGAAGGAAGTCAATCATGTAATAAGAAATTATGTTTCAACTTGGAACACACTGCAACTGGTGGTAATCAAGATGCACATGTTGAAATTGATAATGAAGGTGCAACCATTGGTGATCAAGGTATAGAAATTCATAATCAAGGTACACCAGTTGGTGATCAAGATACAGAAGTCCATGATCAAGGTGCACCTATTGGTGATCAAGATACAAAAGTTCATGATGAAGGTGCAAATCTTGGTGATCAAGAAGTAAATACAGAAGTGTTTGATACCTTTGACGACCAACCATTTCAATTTGAAGACTTTGATCCTTTCTTTAATCAATATACTTTTAATGATCGTAATGATCAGAGTATGGTAGTTGGTGTAGAACTTGGTGTAGGACTTAATGAAGGTTAATTTGAAAGTGAGGGGGTATGTGAAGGGCTTGGTGAAGGGTGTAGTAAAGGGGGTAGTGAAGTAGGTAATGCAGGGGGTAGTGATGGGAGTAATGAAGGGAGTGAAGAAGATAATGAATTTGTTGAATATAAAGAAAATTATGTAAGTGATATTGAGGTGGACATGATTGGTTTCTATATGAATGTTTATCTAGATGTCGAGTATGTTGACAGAGGAAAGGGTGTTGAGACTGAAAATGAAGATGTTGATACTGAAGATATTGAAGATGTTAAAGTAATTGATAATGATGAATGGGACTCCTTGGTGAAGATGCTGATGAGGAGAGGAGGAAAGCAATATTAAATCAAATGGTGAAGAAGAAGAAGTGCTCTCTTAGTGAAGTCCATGCATTTACTTTTCAAGTGGGTCAAAAATATAAAAGTAAAAAAGAAATTAACGACAAAGTCAAAAAACTTTCCATTGAGACTAGAAGGAATCTTGGCTTCAAAAAAACGACTAAACAAGGCTTAGGGTTGTGTGTAAAGGTAATGTACCTAATGTATATGCATGTGGGGTAGGTAAGGGTAATAATGTTAATTGCTCTTGATCAATGCAGACTTCAAGGTCAAAAGATAGTGATTATTGGTATGTGAAAACTTTACTGGACAAACATACTTGTGTTCAAACTAGAAAACTTAGGGCTTGCACTGCGAAGTATATATCCGCAGAAATCATAGGCATGGTCGATTCTAACCCTACATTACCCCTACGAAGCATTCAAGACCAAATTTGGAAGAGGCTTCAAATTGGCGTGTCCATACACAAAGTACAGAGGGCAAAAGCTACAACCATAAAGCAAGTGATTGGTGACTACACGAAGCAATACGATGTGTTAAGATATTATCTAATGGAACTACAATCAACGAATGTGGATACAACTGTGAAGCTTGAGGTTGTTGGAATGATTAGCTGGAAATGGTTTCTAGAATGCTTAGGAGATGACTTAAAGTTGTACTCAAATTCTAACTTTACTTTCATGAGTGATTGACAAAAGGTACTATTTTCTTCTTTTTATTTAACTAATAGTTCGTTTCTATATGAATGTTGGAATGATTATGTGGGATAATATTTTATAGGGACTCATACCTGCTATTGCACAACTGTACCCACAAGCTGAGCATCGATTCTATCTCAGGCATATTTATGAGAACATGAGGAAAAAATGGAAAACAAAAGAGTATAAGCATCACTTATGACAGTGTGCAACAACAACCACAGTACCAGAATTTGAACACTACATGAATGAACTTAGCAAGTTTGATAAGGATGCTTTTGAGTGGTTGAATAAAATCCCCCCTCACCATTGGGCCAGAAGGCACTTTTTAGGTTATTTTCCCTAACTTAGGTGAAGCTTTACTAGTGCTCATTACATGTGACTTATTTGATATAATGTTCTTGTTTAATACATGCAGAGCAGGATCAGATATATTGATCAACAATTTGTGTGAGGTTCTCAATAGTAAACTTATTCATGGTAGGAATAAGCCCATCATAAGTTGTATTGAGTATATCAGGCAGTATCTTATGAAGAGGATCTGTAGTGTGAAGAAAGTGATGTCCAAAGCTCCAGGTCCACTCACTCCAACAACATTGAAGTTACTTGAGAGAAATAGCGAAGCTTCAGTCCAGTATAGGGCTAGATGGAATAGGACAACAAAGTATGAAGTTTGTGGTCCTAGGCATAACCAGCATGTGGTTGACATGACAAATATGTCATGTACATGTAGAAGGTGGGAGTTGAATGGGATTCCATGCAAACATGCCATAGCTACAATACATGAAATGACTAATAATGGAGACAAAGTTGGGGAGCTTTACACTTATGTCAATAAAGTGTATTGGCTTCAAACTTGGCATAAAGCTTACTCTTACACTATGGACCCTATAAACGGTAGAACCATGTGGCCAAAAAGTACCTGTCCATTTCAAATAACACCACCACCACATCACATTCAACATGGGAGACCAAAGACCAGGAGAAAGAGAAGTGCAGATGAAAATTATAATAGTCAGATGCATAAGCATGGTTCAAATTAACTTGAAAACTATCACACCCCAAAACCGGAACGATAGAAACGTTCTGGGTGGATGACGTCATGTCAAGTATCACAACACATGCATTATAGTAATCAAAGTACAACAAAACATTGCATTAATAGTAATAGTTTTGCAAGGTTTACATTACAACATAATAAAGTGTATAAATAAATATAATACGAACAGCATGGTACTAAGCTATCTTCATCAGCAGCTCCGAGGATGTACCTGTCTAATTTGCTGACCTGAGATTACAAGTTATTTGAAAAGCGAGTATCAGCATTTTTATAAATGCTGGTGAGTTCATAAGCATTTAGTGATATTTCATTCAAGTAACTTAATAAAGTAATAGTTTAAGAGATTTCAGTGTATTAGAGTCCTTTCCAGAAAATCCTATATTTTCTTTAATAAAAGCAGCCTTCTACCAAGACTGGTCAGTGACGTGGGGTAAAAAGTAGTTTTCCCTAAATTGCTATCGTCATCAAAATACTGAATTTGATTATTGAAGAAAGTAAACGATATCAGGGAATATCATATGCCTCAGCAGTGAGGACTGCTGACTAAGGCAAGGAACCATAGACTCCAGGAAAGTATCAAACAAACGATACGCCTGGTTCAGTCTAACAAGTGGAGACACAGACCCCAGAAGGTACCAAATGAAAGGTACAACTAGTAGGGTCTAAAACAGTGAATACAGAGCGCAGACAATATCAAATGAAAGATACGTCTAGCAAGGTCTAAAACAGTGAACACAGTGATTACCGTGAATACAGTGGATTCTGTGAATATAGTGGATACAGACCCCGGACAGCATCAAATGAAAGATACATCTTGTAAGGTTAAAACAGAGATAACAGACCCCATACAGTATCAAATGAAAGATACGTCTTGTAAGGTCAAAACAGTGTGACTCTGAAGATGAGTTACCAGTATACGGTGTAGATTGTCAGTGAAATACTGTTACCTTAAGGCCAAAGAATTATAAGGTAACCCGGGATACTCGTAACCATACTAACCAACATTAGAGAACCAGACGCCCTACGAGCATCTTGAGGATGTTACATTTGTCACCCCTTGGCTTGGTGGGCCGTGGACTGTAGCTAGCAGTCAGGGTGCGGGGGTGTCAATCCCGTATAGATCTATACACACAATGTCCGTTCTCCCTACAGGAGACTCTGGTTACCAACTAGACGACGGAGAAGGCCGTGTCCTGAAGATGCATCCCAAATAGTGGGTAGTGACTTCCAAATAGTGGGTAGCGTGTAAGTGTTGAACTAAAGGTAGAGACTTCCCAATAGTGGATTTCTAATGTATGTATAGACTAGAGGTAGAGACTCTTAACTGAACTGACTAGAGAATTCCTATATGTCCGTACTCATATACATAATATATAACTAATGAGTCAAACGACCTTCGGACGGCCATCCGATCCCACCAGACCACATCTCAACGAAGAAAAGGAAATAGGGTAGACGAGCATTCCTAAGTCTTTCAATCATTACTTATATGTACCTATATAAGCACAAACATACATCTAACTACGACTGAGTGTGTATCAAGTAGAAGTGATCTTTTTGAAGTAGAAGTGTCTAAGAAGTGAAGTAGAAGCGATCACAAGTGAAGTAGAAGTGTCGAACAAGTATAAGTGTATCACGAAGTAGAGGCGACAATAAGTGAAGCAAAAGCGTATCAAGTATAAGTGAAGTAGAGTCGTTATCAAGTATAAGTGGAGAAGAATCGTATCACTAAGTAAGAGCGTGAATAAGTATAAGCGTCATCAAGTATAAGCGACTACAAGTATAAGTGAAAGCGTTACCGAGTAGGAGTATAAAATAAGTATAAGCGAAGCCTTAGTATTTAACAAGTAAAAGTATACGTCGATATAGGGAATCTTTGATGAAAAGCCTTTATGTACAAAGAAAATCACAACTTGTATTCTTTTGTAAAAATATATTTGAAAATCTTGGAAAACCTTTCATAAACCAGTTTAGACTGAATCTAGTTAAAACAGTATAAGTAAAAGTTTTGAAACAATTGAAAACCATTCTAGTGTCCTACTCGGTAAAACAGTGTACAGTGGTAAAAATCTGGTGCATGCGGGTTATCAATCACATGTGATTGATATGATAACTGGCATGTTTAACAGGTAATCCCCTCCTATAAAAAAATTTAAAAGCATTTAAAAGGTTCATTCAGGGGTATGAACTCACCCGGTGTAAGTAGGTCCGACGAAGGTGCCGTTTGGGCGTTCGGTGTCACGCAAGGACTTGAACACACACAATGACCTATTTAACATATGATAACATATGTTCACATACAATTAGCATACTTAATACTAATTAAACAAATATACGCGCTCAAAGGAGCGGAAAACACTTTGGCTAAGTGTTTGGGTGCCCCGGGTAGCGTTTAAGGGTGTGAATGGCTAAGGAATGGAGTTTACTATCCAAGAATGCACCCTTAATACATAGTTTACGGCCTAGGGACTACTCACCATGAGTTTACGGCCGTAAACTCATGGTGATGGGTTCTAGGGTGTTTAAGGCTTCTACTTGCATCATGGAATTATTCTAAGCACTTTTCCTCAAAGGCATGAGTGGGTTTGAGGCTTCTAAGGGCATTTTCTATGAGTTTACGGCCAAGGGACCACTCCTAAGGGAGTTTACGGCCATAAACTCTCATCCTTAGAGTTTTGTGAAGTTTAAAGCCCCTAATGACTTTCTAGTGATTTCTAATGAAGTGTGTTGCTATTTTGGAGGATTAAATCTACCATTTGAATGAGTTTTGGGGAGTTTACGGCCTAGACAATTGCTTGGGCCGTAAACTCCTTTTAACCCCTCCATTTCTTGTGTTTAAACCCTTAAATCCTTCCTAGTATTTTATGGTAAAAGTCTAAGGCCATTTAGGGGGCAAAAAGCACACTTTTGGGCACATTTAGGGGTGTTTACGGCCTTGGTATACACCTGGGCCGTAAACTCCTTTTTCCCTTTCATTTCATTGTGTTTAATTGTGTTAAACCCAAGATACTAAGTCCCTAAATTATGTGTTAAGCCCTAGGGTGGTTTGGGAGTGTATTTGGGACATTTAAACAAAGTTTAGAGGTGTTTACGGCCTAAGCATGTGCTTGGGCCGTAAACTCTCTTTTATGCCCCAAAATGATTGTTTTAAATGTGCAAACATCCCTAGGTTAATTCTTCTATTTATTTCCAAGCCATTAGGGACAAGTTTGGGTCATTTTGGCCTTGTTTAAGGGGTTTACGGCCTAAGGAGGAGCATAGGCCGTAAACTCCTTTCTAACAGCTTCTAAGTCCGAATTTTGGGCTATAAACATGAATCAATATGTTTAGAATAAGCTAGGGTAAAAGGACTTACAATTTGGAAGCGTTTGGTTGCGGTTTCGGGGAGAAAACGGGTCTAGAGAGAGAGTATAGAGAGAGAGGGTGGAAAAGCTCCAAATGGAGTTTACTCCCCTTTATATATGGGTGGGAGTTGGAGCTCATTGGAATTCTATCCAATACTGCCGTTAAACGAGGCTTTTGGTCGCAACCGATTTAGTGGTCGTAATAATAAAACTTGACATTTTCCAAATAAATGGAAATGTGTGTCCTGTGTTTTTATTTCCTTTTATCAAGACTTAACGGCATGTTAATTGCAACCAAATGGAATGTTTATTAAATTGATGTCCTCTAAGTAATGAAACTTTTATACAGTGGAGTATTCTGTTATCAGTAACGGGGAATGTAACGGAACAACTTGGGTTGTCACAAAAACTTACCAGAAAGTTTGTTAGTGTCAAGTGTGGGAAATACAACAATAGGGGTCATAACTCCAGGAGTTGCATGGGTGAAGGTGGGGATGCAAGAAGCAATCAAGGAGGGAATGTAGGAAGCAGTCAGGGAGGGAATGCATGAAGCAGTCAAGGAGGTAATGGAGTTGGTAGTCAGTGCAGGAGTTAGTGTATTTTGATTAAAAACTTATCTTTTGGTTTAGCACCACTTTTGTGCATTTGGATGTAATGGTTTAAAAGTAGTTTGTTGTAATGGTTTTATTTTGGTCTTTTAACCCTTTTGGTCATGAAACTAATGTCAACCTTTTGTGATTGTTAAAGAATGATTTTTATGGTTTATAACAACTTTGTGATTATTAGAGAATGATGTTTATGGTTTATAACAACTTTGTGATTATTAAAGAATGAATCTTATGGTTTATAACAATTTTGTTGTCATGTTTATGGAACACATTTATGGTGATAACAAGTTTGTTCTGAAACAACAAATAAACATTAACATTAGGTGATAATTGTATTACATTTGTCATTATAACCATGAAAATGGAACCCATTTTTGAAGTTGTCCAAAATAACCCTAAATTGATATTACAATATCAAATAGCAAAAACTACCACATTCCCCTGTTACAACTTCATAAGACAAAAACACCCAAAATTACATGCAACTACATGGGTCCATAATTCCTTAATCCTAAAACAAAAACACCCAAACCACCACAAATAGTAACCAACTTCCAAACAAACTCATTTTCAATCTTGCCACTTGATAGTTTGTATTGTTGATATTCCTCAATAATCCGGGTATTATCAACATAGATCTTGCACACATTGTGTGACAACCCAAAATTTCTATCTTGTTCAGTTATTCAAATCAATCAAGGTCAGACTCATTTTTACAATCTTCTAGCATTGTTTAGAGTCAATTAGAGTGTTCTAAGCCTAGTACCTTCAAAGTTAGGGTTTAGAAATGAGTTCCACAAGTTTACCACTTCCCAAAATGGCCAAACACTCCATCATGAGGAGTGTACGGCCGTACACTTGGGTGTGCGGCCGTACACCCTGTCTGGCCATACACTCTGAGCTATATATGTAAGACTTAGCCTTCATTCAATCCTTTTCACCTCCCTTAGCTAAGAACTCATTTATTCTCTCAACTATCATCCGATTCTTCACCTAGATCTTCAAGATTGTAAGTATTTCTTTCCTTGATT